GACACTGGGTTGCATCTTGTACAGCCTTCCGGTGCCAGTGTTTATACGGCTGAAAAACACCGACATCAAGAGGTTGAAGAACATGCGTCAAGTGGCTAGGAAAAGGAAACGGGTGTATATTAGCTTCTGTAGCTTTAATAATAAACTCCGGGGTCATATGACTACTGTGTTGATCCATTAATAGAACCCTAGGACGTGCGTTTGCCCCAGCTTGTATATGAAGAATCAAGTGATCAAGATATTCAAGAGCTAATTGGGAGTTGATATATCCGGAATCAGACATTAATACCCTTGTATTTCCGTCTAATAAGGTATACCAATTCATCATATGATTCACACCTTGTACAATTAGAACAGGAGGAATAGTTGTTCCATTTGCAATAATCGATTCTATAACGGTAATAGAACGTCGATTTTCAGGGCTAGGTGTATACAATGGCTATTGTTTATTAGCTATACTATATTTTATATTATAACTGGAATATACATACATCTACTATCCAGGTAGGGACAAGAATATCTTCTCCAGAAGCTACTCCAATTTGAAACCCAGCTTCATCAAAATTGATAATATCACCAGGCTGAATATCATGGGCTTCGCACCAAGTCATCCAATTCTTGAACCAATCCTGTACGTCCTTAACATCTTGTGCACCGACTCGGTTTCGTGCAATTGGCTTTGTTTTTAGTGTATGAAGAAAACCCGGGGTTGTTTTTATGTAGTTTTGAAACCATCGCCAGGACGGTCGCGGTCTGCCTTCTAGATCCTTTAGGTATTCGATTATCGCAAAGACCATCTGTTTCGTAGCCCCGAGGCCTGTCCTGTGCATATCGTCTGCATATGTAATAATAGCTTCGTGTTGTGGCCTAGAGAGGATTCGATTCTGGCCTCCGTGTATTATATGAGGGCGGTCGTCGCGTTGATTTCGTCGTATCCTCGATTTGAGGGTTTGAGGATTCACGTGGAAAATACGTGCGGCGGTAGTCTCACTCTCGTTAGGATTGGCAGTAGCCCAGGCAATTGCCTGGGCTATAGCCTCTTCGTATTCGTGGGTTGCAGGTGGTGGCATTGTTCAAGGTTCAATTGCAATACAAATTGGGTGGTTGAGAAATCTGGGGCGATGCAACTCGCTTTCGCGATGCAACTCGCTTGCGCCCACCGCGTAGCGGTGGGTTATTCGACCCACGATTAGTATAAAGGAGTCTACATGTATATATAAGGCTACACACACATTTTCAGAATATATTATGAAGTTGTTGTTAAGTTATTATCTTGTAAATTTCTTGATTTTAGGTAAGAAGTTCAGTGATCCTCTCGCTTGTGTGATCCGTTCGCTTGTGAAATTGTTCGAAGTGATTATGGGAACCGGGGATCCACACCCAAAATCGGGTGGTATTCTCCGGTAACCAAAAATTCTCACAACGGCACAACGGAACAGGAGGCTTCAGGTAATACAGTATATAGAATAAATAGATCGATTGAATTACTACACTATCTAATGGGCCTACGTAAAGTATTTGTAGGCTTCGTAAGGAAGCAGAATATGGGGCCGAAACCCAGTATACACCAGGTTCTGTTGGTGAAGCAGAGTGTGCATCACGACCCAACCCGAAACCCGTCCTGAGACTTCGACGGTCGGTATTCCAGAACATTTTTACGGCCAAAAGGCCACCGTATTCCATAGCGCACGTCCCTACTCCCAACAGAAATACGTTATGGAACTAATCACATGATATATTGTTTTTCTTCAATATATGACTGCAATATATGATATTGCCAAGCTTTATTAGCGTTATTGATTGTAATACGGAGTGGGAATTTCATTCCAATATATTGCCAAGACGCACTATTGGCAACACCGCCCATACCACCTCGAGGACATCATACAAGAGGGGGAGTGTATGACTTCTGAGCCTTTAGGGTAAATGGCTCTTCTATCATTTTTAAATATCGACATCGATATCAGCAATAGTTGAACTAACGCATAGTAGTTCCTTCTACCTGGAACAGGATGTGGCTTGTGTATTATACACGGAGTAAGTTTTATTCTCTCATCGTCATCACCATTCTCTTCTTCTCGTAAGACTGGAGTTTTTTTTTGGCAACTTCATCGAAGTTTAACCCAACATTTTTTTTCTATCGTGGGCGAAGTTTCATTGCTAAAACCAAATCCCTACCACAGCGGAAAATCGTGCACTGAATACGATCCTTCGATCTTAATGCCTATTCTTTGATCCCAATCTTTCTCAAGACCCTTGAAGACCTAGTCCATGTGGGGGGGTGCGTTGCTCGTCACATGTACGGGTTGGCACCCGTCATCCGTCATCAGTTAGTGAAAATGTAATTCCCAATCCCCAATCCCCAATCCCCAATCCCCAATCCCCAATCCCCAATCCCCAATCCCCAATCCCCAATCCCCAATCCCCAATCCCCAATCCCCAATCCCCAATCCGCAGCAGATTCCCATCAGATTCTAATGCAGACTGCAACCTAGGGACAGGTGCCAATGCATCATCACCACACATACGGAGACTCCAATCCAGTAGTAAACCTAACTTGGTTCGACTTAAAAAGCAGTGCCGGGGGGGGGTCAGGAGACCGCATCGATTCGCGATAGAGGTTAGTAAGTGCGGGTGGAGGGGCGCCGGGTTCCGAGGTGTGGGGTGTGTGGAATGGGGATGGGGATGGCGTTTTTGGGTGGGGATGTCTTGGTTGCCACTGTCTGTGGGGAGGGGCGGTCTAGACTACCTAGTATTGTTTGTTAGCAGCGTAGTAAGTTACCAGTATTGTTTGTTAGCAGCGTAGTAAGTTAGGTAACTTACTACCTAACTTACTACGCTGCTAACAAACAATACTAATAATACGCCACTCCTAATACTCCCAACACACGATAGTCGGCAGATGCTCCTGTATGTAGTGGCTGCCAATGACACTCGATCACCACGCTGTCGTAGGTGGGGTCGTACGTACCAACCCGTTGGTCAAATGACGCCGCCTCAGGTGCACGGGAAACGGGTAAGGAGAGGTGCCGCTCTTGCATGATCCTGGACTCGTTACGATGTCACGGCCGGCGTTGGTTTTGGATAAAAGCTCCTCCCATCCCATTGCTTGCCGATAAGGGAACCCGCCCTCTCGCCTTCCTAGATCGAGGTTCCCCGGATGGAACCGAATCGAATACGTTTAGTCAATCACCTCGCTACGTAGAGTCGCACACCTCCTCGGGGCGGGACGAAAGGGATGGATGGAGCCGAGAGAGGGGATACACGTCTCGTCATTTGTACGTAGGTTGCTGTATGAGGATGGTCATTCGAGACTCCAGTCCCCATCCCCCGCCCGGGGATGGGGACTGGAGATGCACGTTCTACCTCCCGCGGTGATATGGGGGGGCTTGGCTGCGATCGTAGGAGGAGGGGGGTAGCGGTGTGGAGTGCTGGCCTGCTGCGGGGTTGACGCCATTCTGGTGCCCCGCTAGAGGGTTGGAGATGGGGAGTGTATAGGGAATATTGGGGTAGGAGGGTAGGGCGGCATCTTCCTAGGGAAAGGGTTCTGGAATGTAATGGTGGGCTATGACGAGACGCTGTCTTGGAGGGGGGGACGGGAGGCAGCATCAGACCACCTGGCGGGGAGTGGATTGAGTGGCCCGGCTGGTTCGGATGGGGTTACAGTGGTAACTGGTTTGGTTGCTAGGCGTGTCTGGGATGTCTGAGGGCGAGGCCGCGAGACATTGTGCGGGATCGGGGAAGGGGGGGGTTGAGGGTGTAGTGGCTGTGTTAGTAGTGTCAGTAGTGTTAGGAGTGTTAGGAGTGTTAGGAGTGTTAGGAGTGTTAGGAGTGTTAGGAGTGTTAGGAGTGATGGGAGTGTTGGGAGTGTTGGGAGTGTTAGGAGTGTTAGGAGTGGTGATGTTTGAGCCTGAACTTGGAGGAGGGATGGGGGTGTGTTCGAGTCGGATGGGTGCAGACGACTGTGTGGTGTGACGCACATCATCGATTTGTGCTCTGTAGTGCAGATGCAGCTGTGCGTAGGGGACAGGACAGGATCTTTCTTATCGGCAGCACCACCACCAGCAGTGCCGAGCAGAGGAATGTTTGTCTCAGGTTGGTGATAGTCGGGGTAAATGGGCGGATCTAGTAGATTCGATATGAGATCTGCGAGGATGTTCGTTTGTGGTAACTGGAGGCGTGGACATGACACGGCCATGGGAGCTGCTTTTACTCGGCCGGTTTGTTATGTACTGTATCGTGCAGTGCTCAACGGCCGTAGGAGCAGTTTTGTATTCACTCAATGCCGTTTGTATTGTCGTGGAAACCGCCGGGACAGCAGGAACGACGTAATAGAGAGCCCCGAATAACTAGAATTGAATAACAACAACAAAATGTAGGGTCGAACAGTAACAATAACAATAACAACCAAAAATAACAAAAGTTTTGTTTTATAACAGCCTCTGGTATAAGTCTCCAGCTGTGCCTCGACGGTCCCGCTATTGGCCAGTTCATCTATTATATATTACGTGCATCCTCTTCTTCCTAGCACTAGAGCACCGTAACCCGGTAAAATGGCCGTGGGCCGAGATGAGTAATCAATGGTCGTTGCACTTGAACTACGATGTGGAACTGAAGAGTGATTCCCAAGCAAAACCTGCTCTTTCGACGCGTTCTGGTGGAGTTAATCGTGTAGTTGGTTGTATATAGATCCCATTTTAAAACCATACCCGTATTATCCGCATTCCGTACTATCATACCCGTACTATCATACCCGTACTATCATACCCGTACTATCATACCCGTACTATCATACCCGTACTATCATACCCGTACTATCATACCCGTACTATCATACCCGTACTATCATACCCGTACTATCATACTATCATCCCCGTACTATCATACTATCATACCCGTCCGTACCCATAGATAACAAGCTCCCATACTCCGTAGTACACTGTACCGTGTGTCCTGCACTGAATTGTCCCGTGTGTCCTGCATTTCATGTACCGTGTGTCCCGCCCTGCATTGTACCGTGTGTCCTGCACTGCTCTACCGTGTGTGTACATCCCTTCCTTGGACAAACATCCGACCCCATCGCCAAATTATTTCCAACACAACACAACCCACCCAGCACCAGTTCACACCCACGACAAAACTTCACGACAACACCTCGACAACAACAACACACAAACGACAACCTACGACAATTTGCAATCCCATCAACCGTCAGCTCAGGCCACAACTTCACTGTTCGCTCGGTCCCATTGAGCCCTCACCGTCAACCGACACTCACCTCAGCACCACATGCGTTGAGCCACAACCCACCCGCTCCCGCCCTGAACACCAAGGTCACCCACGCAGCCGCCCACGCCAAACGGACACACTTCACGCCCACCAACCCTCCCACCACCACCAACCCCGAAAGCCAAAAACCGCTCCTCCGAAAAATGCAAGCAGTCACCACAACGACTAGCTAGACACAACCTCTCCTCAGCCCATGCACGGCCCACCCCGGCGTGAGCACCGCTTTATGGCCTGCGCGCGCTTGCGGACGTCCTGCGCAGCACGCTGATAACGAGGGGGGAACCTGATCGGGGGATTGAGTGGTAATCATTCATGTCGACGCCGTATAGCGGGGACAATACCACCACCACGACAATTCGGCACGATGGAGACGACGGATGGGACGCTGGCGCCGCCGGCGGTGACGACTCTGCGGGGCGCGGGCGCGGCGATAGAGAGGACGCTGAGTGGGGATATGAGGATGGAGAGGCAGGATTTGAGGGAGGCGGCGGAGCAGACGCTGAATGTGATTTTGGATTTGGGGCTGGATGGGGTGGTGAGGTGGGTGAGTCCGAGCTGGACGGATGTGATTGGGACGGCGGTGGAGGGGGTGCAGGGACGAAGTATTCGGGAGGTGGTGGAGGGGGGGGAGGAGTTGTTTGGGAAGGCCGTGGAGGGGATGAGGGGGGATGCGATGAGGAGTCAGATTGTGAGGTTTGAGCTCGAACTGGGCGAGGCTTCGAAATTGCTGAGAGTGAGGAAAGGGGGGGGGGAGGGGGAGCGTGAGGAGGCGGAGGAGGTGAGAGAGACGGTTGATTTGGAGGGGCAGGGGATTATGGTTTACGATCGATCGACGGGCGAGGAGAGCCATGTAAGTTTTGGATACTCAATTCGGTGGATTGGAAGCTAATTCTACAGACTATGTGGATGATCAGGCCATGGGTCGAACCGCGCGAACTCAAAATCGACCTACCGAGTATAATCGTCGAGAGTTTGGGATCCGGGGCAGAGGTGCTGGCCAGCCATCTCAACATGCTCGCTGAGGCCGGACTCGACGACCCGGCACACCACGCACCGCCTCCCCCGGTCCTCTGCCGCATCTGCGAGCGACAAATAGCACCGTGGTGGTTCGAGAAACACACCGAGCTGTGTCTACAAGAACACCAGGCCGAGATGAAGGTGCAAATATGCCAAGAGAACCTTATAGAACACCGGCACGCTATTGTCAAGGTGCTGGATGCGCTGGAGGCGAGAAAGAGCCGCCCATTATCTACAACCGAGATGCCGTTATCATTACCACAGGCAGAATACAAAGGAATGCCCATCGGTCCCACCTCGCAGCCCAGCTCAGCATCCGGCAGCTCCTCTCCAGCACCCAACAGGCCATCGCGCGATCCATCGGCGTCAAAAAGCAACCACACACGCGCACGCTCCTTCGCCGTACGCCGCCCACAAGCCCGTATCGTCGAGCTCCTCCTCGATCTCTGCGACACAGCCATCGAGATCGGCACCCCAGCCATCAAAGAGGTGTCCTCCCAGATCGGGGAATTCCGCACCCAATCCCCCGCCTCCGAGTCCCGCGTCTCGCAGGTCCTGCAGTGGCAGTCTCCCAGCACGAACACGCTCGACCAGGAGCAAGGGCTGGCGCTGCTGTGTGCAGATAGCGAGAAGGCGGCTAAGGAGAAGGTGGATGCGGTGCTGAGGCATCGTGGGATCTTGGAGTATAGCGAGAGGATCCGGGGGGAGTTTGCGCTGATTGTGCAGGATTGTATTGATGAGGCTGTGAGGAAGGCGGCGAGGTTCGCGGCGGGGCTGGATACGGATTCTATGGATGAGGATGATGATGTTCCGGAACAGGATGATAGTTCTTTTAGAGGGTCGTTTGATGGGCCGTCCACGCTTGCGGCTGCGCTGCGAGAGGCTGAGATGAAGCTCCACGAAGAAAGGCAGAGCAGCTCTTCAAAAGTTGTCTCCACCACCGGCTCGAGTAGTCCAAAAGAGTGCCCCACGCCACGCTCCCACGCAGGGACTCTAAGCATGCTCACACAAGCACGACACTCATCCCGCGCCTCTGCCGGTCCCTCCCGCCGCGGCTCCCTCTACTTCGAGAGCGGTAACGATGACAGCGATAGCAGTATCCGCTCCTCGTCCGTAATGTCACGCCCCGCGCGCATCGAATCACCCGTCTCTGAATTCGGCGACCTACGTCGCGCAGCTAGCTCCCGACGGCGCGACCGCCACAGCATGGCGCTCCCAGGCCGCCGCTCCAGCTCGCCGCAGCGACAGGAATCGCCGTCGCGGCCGGGTGGAGGCATCAGCTCGTCGCCGTTGCGGATCGCGAAACCGCGTTCGCTGGCAACGGGACAGCAGGCGGTGAGATCACCTGTCACGTCGCCGCTGTTGAGCTATCACGAGTTGGCGTCTCCGTCGCTGGCGCCGCATCACCACAGGCGGCAGTCTTCGGCGACGGGATCCGTGCCTCCTCCCTCGCCACGGCTGAATTCGGCGAGTGTACCGCAGGCGCGTGCGGTGCCGCCGTCGATCAAGGATTTTGAGATTATCAAGCCAATCAGCAAGGGAGCGTTTGGGAGCGTGTATTTGTCGAAGAAGAAGTCGACTGGGGATTACTTCGCTATCAAGGTATTGAAAAAGGCAGATATGGTGGCCAAGAACCAAGTTACGAATGTCAAAGCCGAGCGCGCTATCATGATGTGGCAGGGCGAGAGCGATTTTGTGGCTAAGCTATATTGGACGTTCTCGAGCAAGGATTACTTGTATCTCGTCATGGAGTATCTCAATGGTGGCGACTGCGCGTCGCTTATCAAGGTCCTCGGTGGGCTGCCGGAGGACTGGGCGAAGAAATATCTTGGGGAGGTTATCCTGGGTGTTGAGCACTTGCATAGTCGCGGGATTGTGCATCGTGACTTGAAGCCGGATAACCTGCTCATTGACCAGAAGGGACATCTTAAGTTGACTGATTTCGGACTGTCGAGGATGGGTCTGATTGGTCGGCAGAAACGCGTTCTGAGTAGTGCTGGCAGCGAGCAGGCGCCGGATCTCCTGAAACAGGGGCCGTTTGCGAGGGCGTCGTCGCTGGCGTCGTCGAGATCGACGTCGTTTGATTTCCAGAGCCATCAGTCCCCTGGCTCGACACCGATGATGACGCCTGATCTGGGGACAGCGATGGGGCAGCCGTCGTACTTCAGCTTGACGCGTGAGAATAGCATGAGCCGCGATTCGCGACAGAGCCAGCGTAGCGATAGCGGGGGAAGCGATACGCTCAGCGCCATGTTCAGCAGTTTCTCGCTCAACGAGCCTCAACAAGCGAGTCCGCGACCCAGGGAGGGCGAGGAGAACGAGAGCGAGCGGGGCTCGCCAGACATGTTCAGCCTGCAGAATGTGAACAGCCACTCGAGCGTCGATACTAAGAACACGCCCCCGCAGTCTAGCATGATGCCACCACCCATGGCACTGTTCGATCCAGATGACAATACACGCCGTTTCGTCGGGACGCCGGATTACCTCGCGCCCGAGACGGTGAAGGGCGAGGGTCAAGACGAGACGAGCGATTGGTGGTCGGTCGGGTGTATTCTGTTCGAGCTGCTATACGGATACCCGCCCTTCCACGGCGACACGCCCGAGCACGTCTTCGAGAACATCCTCGCGCGCAAGATCTCGTGGCCGAGTGAAGACGAGGCCGAAGTCTCTCAAGAGGCTAAGGACCTCATGAACGCGCTCCTGTGCATGTCTCCCGCCGAACGCCTCGGTGCTAATACCGACGAGAAATTCAGCTCCGGCGCCGAGGAGATCCGCAACCACCCGTGGTTTGCGGATATTAACTGGGATACCCTCCTCCAGGACGAAGCGCAGTTCGTACCGGTGCCTGAAAATCTAGAGGACACCGAGTACTTCGACAGCCGCGGCGCGACGCTACAATCTTTCGCTGAGGAGATGGAAGATCAAATCTCCCCAGCCGCCGCTACCGCCTCGCCAGATTACCCGCCCGAGCGCCCACACGACGCGCTCTCGCGCGTACGCACGCAGATAAACTCCATGAAGCGCGGTCTAATGCCCCTCCACATCCCACCCCACGTCCGGGACCTCAAGAGCCGGCGTCTAAGCGAGCCCGTCGTCGCCGACGACTTCGGGAACTTCGCATTCAAGAACCTGCCCGTGCTCGAGAAGGCAAACAAAGACGTCATCCAGAAACTGCGCGCCGAGGCCATCGCAGCACAGAGTAAAGCCGCAGTCGTCAGCCCAGTCTCGACGAGTAATAGTACCATGGTATCACCCTTACCAGCACTGGAGGGAAGTCCCCTGATGCTGTTGCAGCGTACGATGTCGAATGCGAAGGCGGGGAATCGACCGTCGTCGTCGCCGTCGAGAAAGTCGCAGCCGTCGCAGCCGTCGTCGCCGCTGCTGGTGTCGTCAGTGGCGGGGCAACAGCAGAATGGCGAGGGGAATGGGCGCATGAAGACGTCGAGCACCTCGTCGAGTCTGTCTCAGCAGCAGTCTCTACAACCGGGTGGGTGGTTCTTCGATGTCCCGCGGATTTCGCCGACGTTGCATAAATCTGGTAGTGCGACGGTATCGACCTCGCCGATTAAGACGCGTGGGATCCCCGCTTCGCTGGCTCTCTCACCTGCCAAGGCAGCGGGACCACATAGTACGCCCGGCCGCTCGCGCTCCCAAACCGTCGGCTCCCAAGAGAGCAGCCCCATTTCAGTCGGCGATCTCTTCTCGCACCACACGCGCCGCAGCCAAGTCTTCGACATGTCCCCCTCCTCCTCTGACAACGAAGGCGACAAAGCCAACGCCCTGCTCCGCGTGCAGCGCCGCCGGCAATCCTCCCGCCGCCTCTCCCAGATCAACATCTCCGACGGCCCGGTGTTCCGCCCGCTGGACGTGCTGATCTGCGAGGACCACCCTGTGTCGCGGATGGTGATGGAGAAGCTCCTCGAGAAGCTACGGTGTCGCACTATTACTGTCGCGGATGGCGCGGAGGCGACGAGGGTGGCGATGAGTGATATCAAGTTTGATATCATCATGATGGAGTTTAAGCTCCCTTCTGTCAATGGCGCGGATGTGGCGAGGATGATAAGGAGTACCAAGACGGCGAACTCGACGACGCCGATTGTGGCGATCACGGGGTATCTGAAGGAGCTGCAGCAGCCGCATTTCTTCGATGCGTTGGTGGTGAAGCCGCCGACGACGTCGAAGCTCACGGATGTACTTTGTAGACTGTGTCAGTGGAAGGCCCCTGCCCCCGGGCAAGCGGTGCCGCTGCACTATCCTATGCCATCGGGGTTGAGACAGGAAAGCTTGAGGCTGGATGATATTCCGAGCTCTAGGTCGTCGGCGAGGTTGGCGGGGAGTTCGTTCCGTGGCTCCAGCCGCGGTGATTCCATCGGTTCCTCTCTCTTCGGCGACGAGTCCTCCATCGCTACTGACGACGTGGCTGTTATCACCTCCCGCAAAGCAACGGGAGAATGGGATGTCGACAGCGGTCTCGGAATCTCTGAAGACGGCTCGCTCCCTCACTCTCACGAGATCCCCAAACTCCTCCCCCACCTCTCGGCGCCTGCTTGTCTCGAGACGCAGGAGCCGCCTGGAACTCCCTGCCCTGTCCCGGCATCCTTATCATCCTCATCCACAATCCTCAAACGCCCCCTCTCCCCAGCCCGCTTACGCGCAAAACGCGACGCCATCCGCGGCAGCGGTTCCGCGCAACACGCCGACTCCGGCGACGACGAGGACGAAGAACTCGGCGATACATCTGTCAAAGAGCGGTCCCCCAAGGTTAAATCGGGCGCTGGACAGAGAGGCTCGAAGTTGGGGACGGAGATGATGAGGACGAATAGTCGGGGGAGCGTGGTTAGTGGGTTTGATGTCCCCGGGGTGTTGGATGGGAGTGGTGGTGGGAGGAGAGAGGATGATTTGCTTACGCCGCCGGCGGAGGAAGAGGGGGGGGATATGGATGAGACTCCTAAGCCGAGGAGTTTGTTGGGGACGCCAGGGGAGGAGGAGACGCCGCGGCCGGGGAGGAAGGGGGGGTATTTGAGTGTGGGGGATGCTGAGGGGCGGTGAGGGTAGCGAAGGAGGGATGAGAGGAGGAAATTGTGACTGTGATTGGTTTTATTTACTCATTTTGTTTGTACCGATGAAGGCGGGGTGGGTAGCGAGGCGTTTTTTTTTCGGACTAGGATGGTATGGATGGCGTTTCGGGGGTGGCGTTGCTCTATCGACTGGGGCGACTGACCGAGGAGAGTGAGAGGAAGAGGAGAAGATGCATTACTGGCGTTTCAAACTCTCCACACCTTGCGTTGGATTTCTCTTTTTTTCGACGACGAATTTTGCGAAAAGACCTGTCTACAACTTTTTTTCCTGTGTTACTTACAAAACGAGTGGGGGATGGATGGATGGATGGGTAATGGGTGTGGAAGGGAGAGGGGGGGGGGGGTTCACTTCTTTCAACAACCAACACAATTCAACAAACAACAACAATGATGATAGCTACGGCTATGGATATGGATAAGCTGCAGCTACCAACAAATCAACTACCGCTACGGCGACGAACTACCACATTTCCTTTTCTTTTTTACATTTTTCTTTACAAGCCAGACAGGAGTGGAGTCAGGATACCGCCCCAACAGGGAGATGGATCAGAAATTTGAACCAAACCAAACGAAGGGGGGAGAGAGGAAAAGAGGTACAATACACTACACTACATGTGTGAATTTTTACCCATAACAAACTGGGGTTTTTCTTCCTTTTTTTTTACCAGCAACAACAACAGCGATGGTCTAGCTAGATGGCAGACAGGAAAGATAGCGTGGCGCTGGTTGTTGGAGATAGGGTAGAGTAGAATTTAACTACTGAGTCCCAACACTGTTTTTCTGTGGTTGAAAGTGAATGTGACTGTTGTAAATGTGATTTTGAAAGTTATTGTGAATTTAGGTGAAAGGTGAAGAGGCGAGGGGAGAGGGGGGAGAGAAAAAGAAGTGTTAGGGTAAATATCATGATCTCCTCATCTGTCTGTCTGTCTGTCTGTCTGTCTGCACCTATAACTATTTTCTTAAATTGACAAATTGCTAACAACGGACGGGATGTGGATAGGTTGTATATCGTCAGCGCCAGCGTGATTTCTTCTGCCCAGGCTTACGGGATGATGGACAAGGCCGGGTGAGGAAGGTGAGGCCCCCTAGACCCTAAGGGCTCTACTTCTAGTCAATTACGCATCATAACTCCCATCTACATCTATTCCTGCTCCTTTCAAGCACCCCTAGGTGGTGATGGACGCCTCAACTCCCTAACGGCTGGATCTAGGCCCCCCCCTAAGACAGCGCTTTTATGCCTCTAGGAACCACACCATTTAACCTCAACTGCACTTCTAAGAGACAGCAGAAGACACTTAGTACTAATACTATGCCTCCTCTATGCCTTAGCTTAGGTGAAGTGTGCCTAACAGTCACGAAGTAACAGTAGCCATTAGCAGCCAACTTACTGCCATTGAAAGGGAAGCTAAGATATAGCATAGTTATGTACGATTTCACTAGCATAGTAGACAAGTTTGTGTCCTCCAACAAGCTCCTAGAGCATTGTACTTTCACCTACGACCGCTATAACAAGGTAGTTAGCTTTCTCACTGCCTCTCTATATGTAGAAACTTCTAACTATGCCCCTATCCACCTTAGAACCTAGCCCTTACTAGCAGCTACCTCTATAGGGCCGAAATCTGTTAGTTAGGTGTAACACTAACTTCTAAATGATACAAGATACAGAGGTTTCTTGCATAAGGTTGACTTAACAGAGGAGGCAGGGGATTAAACACAAAGGCTTTCTAAGTAGCATGTTATAGTCTTGTAAAGAATACTATATTAAGTTGAGCACGAAGCTCCTATCTAAGGGAATACTATCTACTTATCGTTAAAATATCAAATGTGCAGGGTCATTTATCACGTGAATCATCATGCAGTATGGTAACTTCCGTTGCAGCTGGATATATAAGGTCGGACGATTCCCACATTTCAAAAACGTTCCTTCAGACTTGCAACCAAATCAACATACTCCACTGCAATGGCTACACTTGACTTGACAACGTATGCTAGTTTCCCACTTCCCTGACTTATTACTGACATCGAATACAGTTTGGGAACAGCTCTACCAGGACCAGTTTCGGACCATAGTAAAGCACTATACAAGCGTAAGCTTACCATGCATTCAAGCTACTCATTCTGACACAAATAGTTTTGCGAGATGTTCATGATACCACCTTGGTATCACAGATAAGCTTCTCGTTGCGAGACTGGAGGCACGTTCCAAAGGATGATGTTATTCGCCATGCATTTGAGACTGCAAGATTTCTCTACCTCACGATATACCCTCGCATCCCCAGACTCCGATACATGGTTGAGAAAATGGGAATGGAGAAACCCTCAGAGCAGGACATGATCAGACGGTGGCATACGGAATTATTATTGTATCTCGAGACTAATGGTCCAATCAGGAGTCTATTTGATGATAATCCGACATTGCTCCAAGGGTGTATCAAGAGCATATTAATGCTGCAGGCACTGGAGTATAGGATCTCCATGTGATCAGAATGGAATTGTCTTTATGCAACGTATTTATTTACATAGTCTGGAACTGCCGCTACACCATTATTCTGAAGCCGCGTACCCTGCAACCTGTGCTGGATAAGCGAGGCTATGACTTGCGCCACCCAGTTTTTTCGATATAAATGGCTGCATGTACACATTTTCAGTTTTGATCATTCGATTTGTGCCATGGAGAACCCAACACCCTTTACAGGACAGAGCTTTGAGCTGCCTGAGGCATTGATGAAGGAATTGACTGACGGTCTCAGTACTCGCGATTGCAGGTCATTCGTCATCACTGACGACAAGAACTCGTTCCCAAAGTTATTTGCTGTAGTCATCTTTGATGTTGCGACAGCCAAAGAATGGATGGGAAGCATTGGCTCTACTGCGTATGTCTGCCGTCATTGATGGGTTCTATTCTAACAGCATCTAGTCAATCAGAACTGTGTCATACTGACATTCGTTGCACTCAGTTTGCTATCAAACTCAAGAGCAAACTTGGAAATCTCCTCCTCAAACCTACAAGTCACTATACATATTTTGGCTTATCACACCAACAACAAGAGCAATACTACTCAACGATCGCTACAACCATCTATGATTCATTACACGTCATCGCTCCTTAGTTACTGGGCCGATATTACCACATAGCATATCTCTACAACCCTCTATGATTCATTACATGACATCACTCATACTACCACATGACATCACTCATACTACCACATGACATATCTCTACCAACTAGAGGCCTAGGAGCATTAACAATAGCTCTAAAAGCTCCTACGAACCTTTATGATTCATTACACGTCATCGCTCTTTAGTTACCCACAAGATTGGTTAAGTTATGACATAATTTGTCTATGACATAATTTGTCTATAGGGGTACTCTGACCTTGGACCTCCTTTTACTTCCTATAGGCTACGAACCTAAGAGATGGTTCTATGGGATTCTCTTACGTCGACTACAGTTACCAAGCCTGGTAAGTCATGGAAAGTCTTGGAAGATGAGAGAACTACACTCCTTTAGCATAAATAGGATTGCCCTTTCCTTAAGAAAGGGCAAGCAGACAATACAGTAAATCGACTATCAAATACTTCCACGTCTTTTACAAGCTTCCAAGCATTCATCTTGTTACTCCTTGTTTCTGAAAAGTCAGTGAGGTGTTAACCTCTGACTTACCCCTGAGTTCCCAGACTCAACATTTGTTGCAACTTGTCTGAACCACTTCACTACATCACACACCTGATTGCTGCGTTGTGGAATAGTCTAAGCTACAACCCTTTGGCTCTGTTTCCTAAGACAGTGTGTTGTCTTAGTAAATTCATCCCTTCCTTGGGTGGCTAGATTCTCACATCTGGTGCACCCACCATTACAACTGGGACGTAGGAGATAGAGTGTAGCTATCGACCAAAAATTTAAAAAAACTCTCGTCCTAGCCGCAAGCTGGGCCAACAATGGGTCGGACCATATATGGTGTTGGAACGGATTGGGCACGCATTTCGATTGGAACTACCTACCGGTTCTCAAATACACAATGTGTTCTCACCAGACGTCCTCATGAAGGACCCGAACAACCCCCTACCTGGTCAGGATCCACCTGAGCCTAGCAGCAAAGTGATAGATGGCGTATAGGAATGGTAAGTGGAAAAGATCCTCGCTGTAAGGCTCCGCCGGAAGCAACTACAATACTGTTACGGCTATAGTAACATGATGTCATGGTTACAGGGCCAGGGCCTAGTAACGTGACGTGTGAGTCACATAACGTGACGTGTGAGTCACAGTGGGAAGCGGGGTAGGCTGCCATGTGACGGGGCTAATGGATAGTTGCAGAAACTAGTGGATATTGGATAGTTGAGCTATCCACGAACTATCCTGAATATCTAGCTATCCGCCAACTATCCAGATTACCCATGAGGCACGACGCCACTATATAAGTAGATAGTATTTCCTTAGATAGGAGCTTCGTGCTCAACTCAATACAGTATTTGTTATATACTAGTAACGTGTTACTTGAAGCCTTTGTGTCTGATCCCCTGCCTCCTCTGATAAGTAAACCTTTACGCAAGAGAACCTCTGTGTCTTCTATCGTTTAGAAGTCAGCGTTACACTTTGAGCACCACTTCTACGAGGCACTGGCTCATACACAAAGCAACATGTCTGTCATCAGTTCGAAGGGGAAAACCCCCACCACGCCAACTTCGTCTCAGAGGTCTAAGCCTGAGAATGAAGAGATGCCCGACGCACCCACCGTCAACGAACTCAAGGAAACTCTATGCGTCAAGTTGCCCGACACTTACTCCGGCAACCGAAAGGAACTTGAGGTGTTTTTGCTACAGGTCAAACTGTACCAGCACTTCAATGACGAGAAGTTTCCCACCCAGGAGAGCTATGCCCTGTGGACTGCGTCCTACCTTAGGGGGGAAGCCCTGCGATGGGTCGAACCATTCCTCAAGGATTATTTCAAATATGAAAGTACCAATGGAAGCATGGCAACTACGCAGACTATGTTTGGCAGCTGGAAAGGATTCTGTAAGGAAATCCGACGCATGTTCGGAGACATCGATGAGATTAAGACCGCGGAAGACCATCTGTTTGCACTTAAGCAGACTGGCAGCGCCCTCACGTACTCCACAGAATTCCAGAGATACGGCAATCAGACAGGATGGGACGCCATCGCACTCATCAGCCACTACCGACGTGGGCTGAAGAGCCATATACGTATGGAACTTGCCCGTTTGGAACAACAACCAACGGACATGGTAGCGCTAATCGAACATACGGTCCGAATCGACAATCGACTATACGAATTCCAGAAGGAACGTCGGACCTATGACAAGCCCAAGAAAAGTTACCCCTACCGGGGAAACGAGGGCAGACGACGGGATCAACACCCGCGAGACAACCGTTCGTCGGACCCCATGGAACTCGATGCCACGTTCAAACCTGGACGACCCCGTGACCCTAAGAAAGACAGACAATTCAAGGAACGACTCTGTTTTAACTGCGACAAGCCAGGCCACATGGCCCGAGACTGCAGACAGCCAAAGAAAGGGAACGGCGGACGCAAAGTCGGCAAACAACTCAATGCTACCTGGCAAGGCCGGGGAGGTTACAACGCCTCGGGGATGCAGTTGAACGCCACATTTGTGAACAAACAGGACTGGGGAATAAACGGCGAAAGCACCCCAGAAGACGGGAGCTCAGATGAAGAATCAGAGGCGGAATCGTTCACCGTCTCGGAACAGGAAACCTTCGACGAGCTTGCACCTACGGAACCAATGAGTCCACGGTGCAAGAGCGTAGTAAGACGCATGGCAAAACATGCCCACGCGAAGATTAGGGCCGAACGAGACAAGCCCAGCGGCCAGAGGAGAATCCCCACGCTTAAGGGCATCTACGGGAACCTGTTACAGGGACTTCCGTTAGAGTGCAAGGTGGACGACTGCAAGGATGACCTCTGGAGATACTACGACCAACTAACGAATACCCGCAGGCTGCTTGGCACGTCCCCAGACATAGCTAAGTTGGAAGCCCAAGAAGCGGAAGAACTGGAGAAGAATGTCGAGCATATGGCTAAACTGAAGAATATGAAAAGCGTCGAACTTTACTACCAGGACCGCAGGAGAGCCCTGGAGAAGTACGACGAGAAAGCCAGAGGTATGCTGCAATGGGAAAATGCGAGACCCACTCCACGCATCGAAAGGAGAGCCATGGAGCAACTAGACACGTTCTCCACGCCTCCGAGAGAAGATAGTGCATGGGTGAGAGGACAGCGGGAACTATCAACGACAGACGCAACAGAGACTGATCATCCCTGGCACGCGTATGTCTACTGGGAGTATTGCAGCGAAGATGACTGCAAGCTCCACTGGAAAAAGAAACACCAGAATCAGTTGTTTCCCCGATCCTCGCCCAGGATACACTTCAGAGACGCAGAGCAAGTTCACGCCCTCAGGCGAAGCCAGTCTGAAGGGGACTTGCCTATCAAAAGCGAACAGGTATACGAGAAATACCCACATCTGCTAGACGAAGCAGAAGAGCGAGGGAAACGATCTCCCCAAGGACCACCATTGGAAGCGGATGAATACTATCCTTCCTCGGACGAGTCAAAAAACTAGGAGTCCTCGACGGTAGGCCACCGGCGAGCGACACGAAGAGGCCTAGTACAGACCAGCTATGCGCCACGACGGGCAGCATGCAACTATATGTGGTTGCTAAGATACAACAGCGACACCTCCGAGCAATGATTGACTCAGGAGCGACGGGCAACTTTATGACAAAGAAAGTAGCAGACACGCAAGGTTTCAAGACGCAATTGAAAACCGAACCATACCCGTTAATGGTCGTAGATGGAGAGCCCATCTCGACTAATGAAGGAATGGTGACCCACGAAACGGTCCCATTGGAAATGGTCATGCTACACGGGCACAAGGAAACGATTCAGTTTGACATCGTGCACATGGACAACCATGCGTGCATCCTTGGTGTGCCATGGCTCAAGAAACACAACCCCCAGATCGACTGGTGGAACGAGAAAGTTGTGATGAGCCAGTGCGCGTGTGAACAACGGACGGACATGCGACAACGGGAGAAACCCTCCCAGGGCCGGAAGGAGTTATGTGCAACCTCCGAGCTCAATGACCTAGCCCAGGCATCCTCACCGACGAGTATACCGGTGGAGTACAAGGAATACGAGCGATTATTCCAGGAAGGCCCTAAGAACGAGGCGCTTCCTAAGCACCAACCATGGGATCACGAGATACCTTTGGAGAAAGACAAGAGTCCACCATTCGGACCAATATATCAGCTATCGGAAAAGGAGCTGAAGGTACTTAAGGAGTACATCGATGATAACCTAGCGAAAGGATTCATCAGACCATCCACATCACCAGCAGGAAGTCCGGTGCTTTTCGTACCAAAGAAAGACGGCTCCCTACGGTTATGTGTGGACTATCGAGCGTTGAACAACATCACAATCAAGGACAGGTATGCC